ATAAAAATTATAAGAGGAAAAAAAGTTACTGGAAAACAATTATTTTTTCAAAAAAGGCAAAAATTGAAGATTAATAAAATTTTTAGGAAAGGAAAAAAATGTATATATATAAGGTACCAAAAAAGAAAGAAAAAAAAAAGAAAAGAAAAAGTAGGAAAAAAAAGAAAAGAAATAAGTTCTTTGATTTTTTTTTTGATTTTTTTTTTGGTAGGGGTGGGAAGAATCCTGTCTCCCTTTTGTCTGTAACCAGCCTCTTGTTGGAGTCTCTGGTCAGCTTGAGGTCCTGTGGCTTGATTGGTTTCTTAAGTCAGTTTGTTCGAACAGGCAAAAAAATACTCTGCTTTACCCAAGATTTTGAGATCCCCCTCCCAGATTAGTTTAATGGGAGGCAGATCTGCTTTGAGAATCACAAAAGAGGGGGATACAGTGGTGAGGCTAGGTTCTGGGTAGAGTTGAGACCTTTCACCAATCAGTAGCTTTTCCCTGGGACTATTTTGTGAAAAAAAAAAGAAAAAAACCTCACAGAGCCCAGCCTGGAGCCATTCTCAGGGTTTCTGTTTTTCAATTGATTGTTGAGGCTGCTAGAGGGAGGGACAGCCTCTGGCTCTGGTTACCCAGTGAGGAAAGCCACTCTTATGGCTGGCGCCTGAGCTGGGTGACTTTTCCCTGGATGGAGCTGAGTCTTTCAGGTCACTTCGCCGTTAAGTTCTTGTGACCTGCTAAATGAATCGTTTTATTCCAAGGCCTGAGTTGGAGCTGGCAGCTCCTCCAAGCTTTGTCGGTATCCAAGATTGAGATCACCGGTGCTGGGGAGAGAGGGGTGGCCTTCCCTCCTCTGCTCCCTGAGAAGGAGTGAGGACGTCGGCCTTCTACTCACGCCGAGTCTTGGATCCTGGGTCGTCTCTGGTCTGCAAACTGCAGGATGAAGATGTCTGCTCCTTGTCGGTTCTTGCTGGTGTTGAGTAGAATCTGCTCGCCCGCTGCATCTGGCTCCTTTGTCCTGGACTCTCTGTGTGCGCACTCCGGAATGGCTGCGGTCACCACCGTGACCCTGCCGCCGCAGCGGCAGCTGCTGGCAAGCGCTCAGATGTGTCTCGTTCTCTTGGCTTCCCCTCTCTTGTCTAACTCTCTGTCCTGTGATGGCACACTTGGTGTGATTCTCTGGCTTAGGACTGTTCACTGGAACTCTAAAACTGCTTTCTATGCAAGAGCTTGTTCAGATTCCAGCTTCTCCTCTGCCATCTTCCGCTGTCTCTCCCTGAGGATATTTCTTATCAAGCATTGTTGCCTCCTCCTTTGTTTTTCCCTTACAATCCCTGCCCTCCCATCTCCACGACTACATCCTCCCCACTCCGCCAAGGTTGTAAAGTTCGTTTTCGACATAGCATCTTGTACATTTCATTGTTGCAATGGGTCCACCTGTATCCCTATTAAACAACTTGTTTTTCCCTTCCTTTCCTCAAATCATACCAGCATCAAATCCAGTAAAAACAGGGGTTATATCATGGGGGAGGGACATACAAAGCAACAAAAAATTACCTTATAAATATGTTAGAAACAATAGCAAGAAAGAGAAACCACTTGAGTCCTTATGTTGGGGTTAATTTTGCCTAACATCAACTTATCTGACATTCTCTGCTTATCTCAGACATATAGTAGTTATTGCAAATAAGGGAAACCATGAGATCTATGTATCTTTGGGCCTGGCTTACTTCACTTTATATAATTTTTTCCATGTCTTTCCATTTCCTAACAAATGTGCAATGCCATTCTTTCTAATGAAGGCATAGAAATCCATTGTGTATATATACCACATTTTTTATCCATTCATCTACTGAAAGGCATCTGGGTTGATTCCATATCTTAGCTATGGGAAATAATGAGGCTTTTTAAATCTGGCTATTTTGTATCCTATCCCATGATCTCTCCTAGAGAATGCTAAATATGTTGGTGAGAGATTGTCTATTCAGATTTTGGGTGAAATGTTCTGTAGGTGTATGTGAGGCTCATCTAATCAAGAGTGAAATGTAATTGTGATAGACCTCCCTGTTGACTTGGTCTGGAGGGTCTCTCCAGGAAATCTGCAGGTATTATTGTGTTGACAATCATTTCAAAGTCTGTTTACCCAGAGGTAAGTACTTTGATTGTGTGTTCATACTAATTTATAATTGTTAAGTCATCTTCTTCTTATGATTGCTTCATCATTGGATTACAAACTTAGCACATTTAATTGCTTTGATTAAGGTGTATTTGATGTGGTAATTTCTCGATATTTCTGCTTTCTTTTCCCTTTCATTTGCTTGCACTGCCTTATTCCATTCCTTTTCCCCACTTTGATGTACTGCTTATTGATATTATAAAGATGATGTACAGAGAGGTTACAGTTACATAAGTAAGATGAAGAGAACATTTCATTTCGCATAATGTCACCCCTTCCCTCTATTTTTTCTTCCCATCTGCACCCACCAGGTCTATAGTTTAGGTTCAACAGAGTGTTCAGTGAGTAGCACAGCTGCATTTGTTCACCCTTTGTTCCACTATTTCTGTGACTCTAGGCTCACAAAAACAACAACAAAGAATAAAACTCTCTTGTTCCCATTTCCTGAGTTCTTTTTGAGAAATATTATTTTAAATGATCAGATGGACATAAGTATTACATCTCTGAATTCCTCTCCTGAGTATAATCGTTGCTTGAACTGTACAATTTATCATGTGCAAGTGCTGATTTTGTTTTTTTTTTTTTACCATTTGGTTTGTTTTCTTGTAGATTTACAGGTACATTCTATACTCAGAGAAAGCATAAAACCCATGTTTCTATGGATCTGGCTTACATTCCTTTCATTGAAAGCCATTGATAGTGAATTGAGTTGTTTGGATCAAACTATACTTTGGACTGAGGGTTTTGTTCATTCAAGCATTCTAACTCTTATATGTAGAGTTTGCCTTCCCAGTCTTTATTGACAAATCATTTTCAACATTACCATTTTGTACCTTATTATCCTGGTTTATTGAAACATCTTCCTCCTTTCCTCTTCTTTAGAAACTTCAGTGTTTATTAAGTGAGTTCAATAGTAGTGAGTTTTGACTTTAGGATTATGAGTTTTTATTTGTCTGCTATAGAATTATGGTACTTATGGGACTTACAATTGACAAGAAGCTAGTGTGGAATGATGATAACTATCTGTGATGATGAGGATAAAAGAAAAAGAACACACACACACACACACACACACACACACACACAGTAGAGGGCTCTGATCAAATCCATAAGTGAATGTAGAGACATGTTATAATGAAACCTTTTCTTTAATATTTAATTAAACTTTTTGTTTAATATTTTAAGATACGAGGGAGTAACAAATTTTCCAAGAAATGTAATTACTACCTTACTTATGTAACAGTACCCCTTCTGTATATCACCCTTGCAATAAAATTAAAATAAAAGATTTTATAAAAATTTTATAAAATATTATAATCATACAAATGAAAACATAATTGGGGTGGTAGCTTTAATATATCCTTGTTCATGATCAATTGACTATATGCTCAGAAGTGGGGTTGGTTTGTCATAAGATAGTTCTATGCTTGCTGTTTTAAGGACCTTCCATAATGCTTTCCAGACTGGCTGAACAAATTTTCAGTCCCACAACCAATGTAACAGAGGTCCTTTTTTGCCAGTTCCTTGCCAGTCTGATGGGAGAGGGAACTCTGGGTGCACACATCAATGATCTCTTTCTCCTCTATACTGACCTCAATCTTTATTGCATCAGGAGCAGCTCAGTTTCATTATGTTGTTTTATATAATGTAAAATCATAAAGTTTTATATAATGTTTTACATTATGTTTTACATAATTTTCTGCTTGCTAGCAAAAAAGGATTCTATTCCCTTCCATGTAACTTCCCCTGTCCAGGTCTCTAAGTTCTTCAAATTTCTCTAGCATGCCTGTATCTACGCCATTTTAGCTGTCAATATGGAAAATGAAGTGATGTTAGAAACATAACCTGTCATTTGTCTGTTAGGACTAAACTTTATTTTTAAGCTATTAAAATAAAATTAACATTAACAATGATGGCTTCACAAAAACAAATACCTAGGATTAAAAACCTAACATCTGTAAAGAAATCTACAATGAAATGTAAGGCTATGATATAAGATATTGGATAAGAAAATGGAAAGACACCCTGCGTTCAAAGTCTGAAAGAATTAAAATTGTGAAAGTGGTTATATTCTTCACATTCACTGTTATTGCACTGAAAAATACAGTGTATTTTTGCAGATACATAAAAAACAAAAGTAAGCCAAAAACCAATAGGAAACTCTGATAACCCCAGTTACCACTATGAAGATTCTTCTCTGAATCAAAGCTGGGCAAAAATGTTTCTGGGACATATTAATTCGGTGGGGTGGAAGAATCTGTGATCCCAGCTCTGTAAGAGGTGGAGATTTAAGGAATGAGAGTTTAGGGCAGTCCTATCTGGATGTTAGTCACAACAGTGGTGCCTGTCTATAATCACAGCTGTGATGGAAACTTAAAAAAGCATTGAAGTCCATTTTTTTTTGCACAGCTATGAAGAGAAAACATCAGAAAATTACACAGAGTACGCTGGATGTTGGTGACTCATGTCTGTAATACTTGGTATTCACCAATCTGGGATCAAAGCATTGCAGTTCAAAGCTGGCCTGGACAGGAAAGACATTGAGCCCCAATAAAAAAGCTGGAAATGGATCTTTGGTTCCAAGGGGTAGACTACAAGCATTGACCAAAAAGCTCAAGAACAGTGTGCATGGAATTAAATGAATAGGAACAGCACCAAGGTAAAACAAAAACAATACAAGAACAAAACCTCCAAAGTCACAGAGCAGAGGAGACATAACAGGAATGGGATGGAGTAACATTACCTTTCAGTCTTCATCATGGGAATCCTCTACTAAAATAGCCAGTCTCACACATAACTTAAACCTGAAGTAGTAAGAAAATGAGGGTGGGAAAGCAAAGTAGCTTGGACTCAATCAATAGCCCCAGAGTAGATTTCAGGTAGGGTGAAAAAAGTGACCATGACAGTTCTTGCATTCTCTGGAATTCCAGATATGAAGAGGCTTCGAAAAAAAAACAAACATGGAAAGACTTTACCTTAGCAGAGAAACTATGAACACACCCACATAAAATTTGTTAGGGAAACTAAGGTGAGAGGCCTCAGCTCAGCAGGAAATATGGGGCCAGCTACATCTCTAAGCTTTCCTTTTAGTTGTGGGTGGAACCACAGCTCAGCAGCTTACAAGGAAGGAAACAATGGGCAAGAGCAGAATAAACTGTGAATTGATGGTTGACTTGGGCGAAGGAAAAGACACTGGGTTTGGTAAAAATTATGTGAGGATGAGGATATTGGGCTCAGACCCCTAGTAGTTGCATTGAAGATTGCATTGAGTTCTTATGCTGGAAAGTGGGTGCTTAATAGACTCAATTCTAGAGAGATATTTCTCAATAGGTTAATATGTCACTACCAAGAAATAGACTGAGAACTGTGACAAATAATCACAGATATACATTAAACCCATTCAGCAAAGTAGTCAATACACCAACAATCACCAGACTGAGAAGCACCTAATAGTATCTAATTCAATGACTACAAAGTATCTTAAATATCAAGGAATAAATGTAACCACGGTAGTGAAAGAAATGTTCAAGGAAAAACATTGTTTTTTCAAAAAAGTAGAAGACATAAGAAAAATACTCCATTGGGCATAAATTGGGCAAAGAACTATTGTGAAAATTCCTGCGTTCTAGTCTTTCTATTGATGCTTGCTGCCACAGCTGGAATGACAGGCGTATTCCTCAATATCCAGCTTCTTTTATTATTATATTTTTGGTCAGTCATGGGGTTGAACTTGGCCTGGGCACTGTCCCTCAGCTCTTCAGCTCAAGGCGAGTGTTCTACAGTGCCACTTCCAGTTTTCTAGTTGTTTTGGAGATAAGAGTCTCACAGATTTTCCTTGCCCTGGCTGGTTTTCAACCATGATCCTCAGATCTCTGCCTCCTCAGTAGCAGCACCCAGCTCCAGCTTCTTTTATTTGCACAGAATCTCAGGATCTTGTATTTTGCCTGGGCTGGCTTAGAATCACAATCTTCCTGATCTCAGCCCTCCTTCTCAGCACACTCACACCTACATACAACCACATACACACACAGATACACAGACACAGATAGACACACACATACACACACACGAATATGTTGATTAAGAGGGTCTCATGAAAGTTGTGCCTAGGCTGTCTGTGAACTGTGATACCATGTGAGCACGTTGCACTACAGTCATGAGCCTCCATGCCTGGCTCAGTTCCTTATTGTGGTGTAGATACAACCGAGGACCTTAAACTGAGCCACAATCCAGGGCATATTCATCAAGGTTTTCTCTTCTTTCTTAATCTATTGCAGTACTACTTAGAAAATAATTACTTCTGTCTGTTGCTTCAAGTGTTTCCCTTATATATCTATCTCTAGTTTTATATTTGAAGCTCGTAAGTTGAGGACTCTAATGGAATGAGACGGAACTATTTCCAGTCTTTAACAAGTGACAATGCAGTTTTACAAACAAAATTTGTTAAAGAAGCAATCGTGTTCAGTATATGTAATTGGCCATGTTGTCAAAAATTAGTTGACTGTAGCTATGTTGGATTGTTCTGGATTATCTATTACGTTTACTGGTTTGCATATTTTCTTGGAACCAGTTTCAATGTGACATCCTTTCAGTGGTTGTGTAGTATAGTTTGAAATCAGGTTTGCCATATTGTCAGCATTGGGCTTTCTCCTCATGGTTTTATTCTTTCATTGTGCAAATCCAAATAAATTTTAAGAGTGTTTTACTCAAGGACAACTTTGGAATTTTAAAAGGAAATGAACCCACGCGTTTCATGGCAAATTGGGCATTTCAATAATGTATGTCCTCCTCCATAAAAATTGGAAGTGCTTCCTGTTCTATTTCTTCTTTGATTCTTGCTTCTACATCTGCTGGTTTTCAAGATTGATAGAGGACTTTGATGCCTTATGTTGAATTTCCCTTAGACATCTTTGGAGGCTGTGGCAGACAGGTGGGTACAGGGGTGTCTTTCTACATCAGTGAGTTTGTGTTGATGTAAAGCCTTCTGCTGGTATCTTTATGGCATTGAAACTATGAGATATCATTTGCAAAGAGATGTCTGCCTGGATGTGAGGTCTCTGAATTGATCCTCTAATTACAATGCCCTCATAACTTTAGTTGACAACTCAGAGACAGAGACTTTTTTTGCCCATTTCACAATTCACATGACATGGCATCATCTCATGCAATCCAGTTGCATCATCCCAAATAAATTTCATGCAAATAGTTTCTAGGCATAAACTTTGGACAAACTCCAACCAAGATAACTCCATCTCTGGGGCCTCACTATCTGTGTTCTTAGATGAAATCACAGCACCTGCAGTGAAGAAGGGAAATCTGGAAACATGTTTTCTAACTCATGTTTTTCTTCCTGATGTCATGCTACAAATGCAGAGCCCCTAGGAATACTCTTAGACATTACGTCTGGGGACTCACATGAGGCTTAGATTAGAGGTGAGCTATAATGTAGATCTCTGTCAATAAAAAGACACATGTGCACATATACATAAGTGAAACTCTGGGTCTCACTTCCTGCCAGCATTTCAGTTAGGCAGATGCTTCAGGGATGTGCTCTTTGGCTTTCACACTCCTCCTTCTCTATCTTCCTCCCCCTGTCAGGTCCTTGGCTGGCACTACCTGCTTTTCTACAATGAAGCACCGAGCACACATGGATGGAGATGTGATGATCGCTGGGTTTTTCCCTCTCTACACTTTGGGAATAGATCACAGTAACATCCATTCTGCCAGGCAAGAAGAGAACAAGATGTAAGTAATTTCATATTTCATTTCTATTACTGTTTCATTCTGAGGATGTTTGATGGGCTTGAGGAAACTCTGATCTCTCTCTCCTCTACACTGACCTCCATCGCTATTGCATCCAGAGCAGATCAGTTTCATTATGTTGTCTTACATCTCCTGTTGACTGATTTTCTGCCTGCTAGCAGGAGAGGACTCCATTTCCTTCCATGTAGTTTCTCCTTTCCAGGTCTATAATTTCTTCCTTATACTCCAGCATGCCCATATCTCTTCCATTTCAACTAATCACTGTGGGAAATGAAGTGATGTTACTAGAATCAAGTTGAGTCACTGGCATGAGTTCTCTTTTAAATGGCTGCCATTTCATTTCCTTACCCCTTATGCCAGTAGTCTGAGAACTTTTTTTAGTAAAATGTATATTTTGAGGGTGTTGATAAAATTTCTTATGATGGCTCATGCCTGTAATCCTAACTACTCATGGGGTTGATATCTAAGGATCGATGTTTGAAAATATCCCAGGCAGGAAAATCTATGAGACATTTTTCTCCAACTAACCAGACAAATGTTGGAAATAATGTGTCTCAAGTGAAAGTGTGTGAGCCTTGAGCCCAAAAGCACAGGAACAGTGCCCAGGCACTTATTTTGTGACCTAGAACTAGTGTGCACACATGCATATTCACATACACACATACAGTTACATACATACACATTCTTGGTGCACACAAACAGTTAAATTTCTAAATTCAGCCTTGTGGCATTGTTTCATGTCAGATAGGCTCCACAACACAGGTGTTACCAGGCAGATCCATGTTATGAACGATTCCCTATGGGGACATTCACCTGCCCAAGTTAAGTCTTTAGCTAGGATTGCAGGTATTGTCCACCAGTAGAGATAGTTTTAATTTCTTTAAGAATCTCTAAACTTTATTATATACCATAACCAAGACTCTACTTTTTCTCTGGGTTAATAAATAACTAATGGGTGTCCTGAATGATTTAATATCAGTTTTCTGCTGTGATTATCTATTTCCAATTTTTACATATCTGTTCCTTGATTGAATTTTTTTCTATTCTAGTTTTTAATTTTTAGAACTTTTTCCCTACATTATTCATCCTATGTGAGATGTATAGCTAACAAGATTGTGTTTATATGGCTTTCCCACAATTTCTTTTATTGTGCTGAAGCTTTTCAATTGGAGACAAGCACAGTTACTTTACATTTCCAGTGCTAGAGGTGGAAGTTATTGTCTTTTATGTAAGACAAATGTTTCTGCCATTTAATTAAACCCAGAGAATAATTATTCCTATTCTTTTATGAGCTATTGACTTTTCTTTAAGTTACCTGTGTATTTATATTTCCCCTAATTTTTACTATTATTTGAAAAGTTCATATTTCTATTAAAATCTAATCAATTTTGAGATAAAATACATGGTCTAGTCTAAGTGTTTCACACATGCATGCCCAGCATCACAATGCCACCAATGCTAAGGGTGTCATGTTTGAGCCATGTATTATTTGCCAACTTCTCCAAGAATCAGATCTTTATTGCTTACAATTTCTTTATGGTCTTATATTTCTTTGATCCATGTGTCTGTTTTTATCAGAATGTTTTTGCTATTATGACTCTGCAGTATAAGTAAAGAACAGGCACAGGGATGGTTTCATGTTGTTGTGTCTTAAACTAGCTCTGGCTAATGGAGGATTTCCTTGTTCATAAAATTTAGTTTGCCTTTTCTTTTTCTGTGAAGTAGGTGATAGGAATTTTGATATAGACTGCCCTGAATCTTCTATGCATTTGTTTTTCAGTAATACAGCTACTTATACCATACAGATTCTGGCATGCAGAATAATGGGAGGTATGTGTTCATATGTGGAATATTATGGCTTATCCATTTTATAGTTAACTATTTTTACTTTGATTTTATCACCCTGTTGTTATTGTAGAACCTCCTTTTTGCTTTCTCAATTATTGGCATTTTGTTTTAGTCTCTACTTTTTCTTCTACTTGATTATTTCATTCCATATACTAATTTTGGGTTCATATTTCTAATTCCTTGAGATGTAACATACATGCTTTAGTACAGCATCTCTACTCCTGATTTCAGCAGAGGTTGTTACAATTTTATTTCATTGCACTTTTTCTATCTCTATAGATTATGATATTCTGTTTTCATTTTTATTTGTTCCAAAGATCAGCAAACTTCTTAAACTTTACCATGAAAAATAAATAATTTAATCAAGTACTAATCATTTAGTTAAATTGAATACTTTAAATTAAATTTTAATTAAAGGATTTATTTCTAATTGAAAGAAATTCATTTCAATGTTATGCAAATATTTTCAGTGTTTTCCTTGTTAATTTCTAGCCTTACCACGCTGTGGTTTGCAGGTATGTGCAATGTACATTGCATCCTTTTTAGATTTGGCTCTTTTGTGTCCTATCCCAGGATCTCTCTTGGAGAATTCTCAATATGTTGATGAGAGATAGTCTGTTCAGACCTTTGGTGAAATATTCTGTAGGTGTATGTGAGGTTCATGTAATCAAGGGTGAAATTTAATTCTGATACCTCCCCATTAACCCTTTTCTGGAGGGTCTCTCGAGAAAATCTGCACCTAATATTGTGTTGAGTTATCACAAAGTCTACTTACATAGAGTTAAGTGTTTTGATCATGTGTTAATATACATTTTCAATTGTTAATTATCTTGTTCTGATTGCTTCATCAGTGCATTACAAACACAACACATTAATTGCTTTGATTAAGCTCTATATGATGTGATAGGTTATGGATACTACTGCTTTCTTTTCCCTTTGATTTGCTTGGACTGCCCTATTCCATTTCTTTTATTTCCAGTTGATGTATTGTTTATTGCTATTATAAAGATGACATACAGAGAGGTTGCAGTTACGTAAGTAAGATGAAGAAAACATTTCTTTTCCAACAATGTCACCCCTTCCCTTGCTATTTTTCCCTCCAATCCTCACCCACCAGGTCTATACTTCATTTTCAACAGGGTCTAGTGAGTAGCACTGCTACATTTGTTCACCACTTGTTCAACCTTTTCGGTGACTCCATGCTCACAAAAACAGAAACAAAAGACAAAACTGTCCTGTTCCCATTTCCTGGAGTTCTTTTTGACAAATATTATTCTATATGAACAGATGCAAATAGCTATTACATATCTGTGCTCCTCTCCTGAGTGTAATCTCCTTTGTTCTCACTGGGGGGAATGCTTAGAGATCTGTGTAATTTATCATGTGCATGTTGTGTTTTTGTTGTTGTTTTTTTAACCATTTGGTTTGTTTATTTGTAGATTTATAGGTACATTCCATATTCAGAGAAAGCATACAACCTATGTTTCTTTGGATCTTGCTTACATTCCTTTCTTACTCTTATTGAAGGCCATTGGTAGGGAATTGACTTTCTTGGAATCAAACCATCCTTTGTACTGAGGGTTTTATTTATTCAGGCATTCTAACTCTTATTTGTAGAAGATACATTCCCAGTTATTTTTATTTTTTATTTTTATTGTGAAAATATCATAAAGAGGGGTTACAATTACATTGACAAGGTAATGAGTACATTTCTTATCAAGCATTGTTGCTTCCTCCTCCTTTGTTTCCCCTTCCCATTCCTTCCCATCTCGCCCCCATGCCCAATCCAGTCCTCCACCCTAACCCCTGGCCAAAGTTGTAAAGTTCGTTTTTTGAAATAACGATTTGTACATCTCATTGTTGCAATGGGTCCATCTGTATCCCTATTTAAATGATTTGTTTTTTTCCCTTTCCATCCACAAATTATACCAACATCAAATACAGTGAAAGCAGGAGTTATACCATGGGGAGCGACAAAGAAATCATCTTATAAATATGTTAAAAACAATGGCAAGAAAGGAAAAAAATACATTTGAATCTTATCTTGGAGTTCATTTCACCTAACATCAACTTATCTGACTTTTTCTACTTGTCTCAGACCTTTACTAGTTATTGCAAATAAGAGAAACCATGGGACCTATGTTTCTTTGTCCCAGTTATTATTGACAGATCACTTCTCAAAATTGCCATTATGTTCTCCTGGTTTATTGAAACTTCTTCCTCCCTTCCTCTCCTTTAGAGACTTCAGTGTTTATTGAGTTTAATAGTAGTGAGTTTTGACTTTAAGATTATGAGTTTACATTTTTCTACTATGGATTTTGTGGTACTTATGGGACTTAAAATAGATTACAGTGAGCTACTCTGGAATGATGATAACTATGTGTGATGATGAGGATAAAAGAAAAAAATATGCATAACTTAAGTAGAGATATAATGAAAGCTTTTCCTTTAATTTTTAATGAAACTTTTTGTTTAATATTTTAAGATAAGATGGGTTAACAAGTTATCCAAGAAGTGTTGTTACTACCTTATTTATATACCTGTACCCCTTCTGTATATCACCCTGGAAATAAAATAAAAATATTTCATAAAAATTTTATAAAATATTGATACAAATATAAATACGAATGAAAATGGCAACTACATTTTATTGCTCCCATCATTTGTAAATTGAATTTTTAATTTTACATTGTTCTATGGAAAATATTAGATAGGTTAATAATTTTTCCTCTTCATAATAATTATGTGTAAGATTTGTGAGCCACATTTAAAATGTTAGAACATTCTCAACTCACTTATACACTCACTTTCACCAGTAAGATTCATTCATTTTTGGAGGCAATTGCAAGTGCGATGTTATTGTAATTTCAACCTTGAACTTTGTCAATGGCATAAAGAAAGGCAATGGATTTTTGTGAGTTGATTTTTTATCTGGCTATTTTGTCAAATTTCAGGATCAATTTTAGCAGCTGGGGAAAGGGAGATTTTGAGCTCCTTTAAGTACATGATCATGTCATCTGTAAAAAGGGATGGTTGTACTCATCCTTCCCTGTATGGTTCGCCTAAATGCTTTGACTCTGCATACAGCTCTTGCTAGGCATTCCAATACTATGTTGAAGAGGAATGGAAAGAGT